GTTTCCCAGTGCATACGAACACGATTCAAGGGCAAGCACTGAGTCTCCAAGGAAAAAGTTTCCAATCATTAAGATTAAACAGTACTGTAGTCTTTAAGAAACTCTAAATATCATTAAAAAACTATACCTGTTTAAATCTACAATGTATTTATGAACACTCTGAAAAGCTAGATAAAATCTTGTCAAAATTTCAATGTTGTTTTCACGGAATTCTTCATCTAAATCCAGTAACTCAGGCTTGGCTTCCAGCTTGCCTTCACACGCCTCAGGCCCCTAAGAAAGAAAATTCATATTTAAGAGACAATATTTGATTGTGTCTGTGACAGTCTTCAGTAGGACAAAGAATATACATGACCACTAGCATGTATGTAATGACAGAATTAACTGTTATTACTAAAATAAGGCACCTGCAGTTTTCCAAGCTACTTCATGATTAAACGGTGATCCCATAATGATGAATTCTACATTTTGCTACAATCTATGATTATCAATACGATAACACTTTGGGTAAAATTCTGACGCATCTGAAACCACCATGTGCTTTACCACGGACTCTTTTTAATGGCAGCTATCTCCTTTCTGGAACTTTTTCCTTTACACATTTGATCTGGTTGATTTCTCAAACAGAATCCAGAACATGAAGGCCTCACAGATAAGTTGTCAGCTTTGTACCTTCTCATACATTTAAACTCCTTGCAAGTATTAAACCTACGTGAGAGTTTTGACAAATTCTAGACCTAGGTCTGTGCTAGTCCCCAAAACTGGCACAGAAACCGTGTAATTAACAACTGTGTGGGAACAAGGGGAGAGGAAGACGAGCCTGACTTTCTGAAAGAAATGGTTCAAACTGTTTTACCCATTTGCTGCTGTCAACTCACCACCTTTCAGTCCTATCACTAACAGTTAACTGAAACTGTTATTAAACATCATTCCACAGAACACTTACATGGCATGAGATCACGACTTAAAAGGATTTTGTGAACAGGAACTCCATAAAAATCACTTAAAATAGGCTTAAAAATTAAATGTCAAGTCTAACACCTGGCTGACAACTTCTTAGTGGTTTTAAAAATGCTCTTCTATTTCTTTTTTTCTATGAAATGGCCACGTGAAACAAAGCATAAAAGCAGGCCCCAAACTGACTATGAAGCTTAAATGCACAAAGTAAATGGACTGATTTTCAAAATCTCAAATCTCATCACCTGATTTTAAGCATCATGATTGCAGGAATGGAGTGCTCATGGTGTTAATATCTGTAAATTCATGAAAGCCTGGTTTACAAGCATGTCTTTTATTGATTTTGTTGCAATTAGGCTGAAAAGCAACAGCAGTATCTTGCTTCTTAAACATTCAGGAATCTTCCAGAATAAATGTATTTCTGGCCAGTTACAACTTGACAATGTAAGAGCAAAGAGGTATTTGTATAAAAAAGGCTTGTAAAAAAATCTACATCTAAAGGTAATTGGGAGATCACCTGTGCTCAGGATTTTCCGAGCCCAAAGTACTCAGAATTTGCAATGCAAAAAAGATCCACAAAAAAACTCCAGCCCCCTTAAATGTTGCTGAAACAGTAACGTCTCTTTTATTGTACAATCTAAATGGAGAAAGTCAAATTACATCATCTGTAGAGTTCCTTGCAAATCATGCTAGAGAATGACAGAGGGGAAAAAAGTACTGCAAGAATCTTAGTTCTGTAAGAAAAATGAGACCTTTTCACGGACGCTACTCTTTAATTTATCTGTTGATTCAGTGCTCATGGACAAGCACCATGAATGAACAATCACAGTACTGTCAAACAGGAAAGCATAAAGCAGTTTGTATGGCTGCAAAGAAAAGGCTACAGATAACCAAAGGAAGACAGGCATACTGTGCCACAGAAAAACAACCAAGTGCTTAGGCTCAGAGCTTGCTGGTGAAAATGCAATTTTAAGTTTACTCAGGAAACAGTAATTAAAACCCCCCCAAATCCAATACTCAAATGTCATATAATCAGTCTTCTTTGAAACTCAAGGCCAGATGACTCATCAAACATTTTCAAAGCTGTATCAGGGACTGCTTTTGTATGTATGTATTTAAAGCTGTCCCATTTCCTGCCCTAAAGCTCAGTGCAGGTAGTGGTTGTACTTCTATTCTGCTTAGGGAGCTAAGCACACAATCTTCACTAGTCTGCTTCTGCTCAGTGAAATAAATAAGGTCAGGCTGAGTACCATCAGAAGCGTATAAACACAAGACAGCCCAGAAGAGGAGTGCTAGTATGCGAGCACATCCCATTTAGTATCTTAGTTTGGTGCATTTTTGGTAAATACTGAGTAAACAGGAAATTATCTTAGTCAATTCCGATGAACGTTAGCAACTAACATAACAGTAACTGTTTCCACACTTGTGAGGACATTAACACCCTTAGGCTTTCGCCCTTAGTGAAACACCCTTAGGCTCACCCGGACAACGATACTTTGAAGAGAAGTTTCACAATAAAAGAAAAGGATTTACCTTAAAATAACTGAAATCGAATATGATATCCCCATACTTCTGTTGATCAGCCTTGTCCTTGAGCCTGAAAACACCAGGAATAAATTCAGAAAGTCTCAGAAGTTCTGCAATGATGGCATTTCCACAGGAGACAATCCTAAGAATGGCCTGACCACAAAGATTATTTTCAGCTAGAAAATCAACCATTGTGGAGCTGAATGTGACCGCGTAGCAACAGTCCTGCAGTCTGCTCCCGAATGTTAGTCTTCAGGTTATTTGAAGAAGAACGTCTAATGAGAAAAGTTGCTGTTCCATTAATAGTACCTGTAAAAACAAAAACATACACATTTTGAGTGTTTCATAGTTATACTTCTGATAATTTATTCTATAGGGTTTTTTAAGCACACGATTAAATCTTACGCTTTATGAAATCTAAACGCTCCATGTTTTGTCCAAATGAAAACAACAGACTGAATTTACCTTCAACATATATGCAGTTTTGGCTCAGTCACCTGTGTGATCAGGCAAGAAATAATAGTGTGATCTTTTGTACTAGAAAATTTTAAGGTAACTATTAAAGAATGAAACAATCACAAAAACTGAAGCAATTGAGGCCATGCAGCAGACGGCAGCAAGGAAAGCACAAACTAGTACGGTACAAGACGCATGTTGGAACAAGGGAGAATCCAATAGCAAATGGAAAGAACATAGCTCCACTGCTTTATTTATTGCTTAAGGGAGAGCTTTTGTACTGTGGTTGCATTTCCTGGCCACATTTTTATTTATGGGCATTTTTTGCTGAAAGATCTGGAATGCAGCATGGCTAAAAATAAGCTGCTTTTTAGTTCTGAAACATTTATGGGAGGTTATGAGCTGACTTCACTTTTTTTTTTTTTTATCAAAAACCTTCTAAACCACTGAGTTACATTTAAGTTGACGAGGCATTTTCCGATCCCAGTCTGTCTCAAAATGCACACCAGGAGCCTCGTCTTCCTGCTACGCATGGAGGAAAGCATCGCTAGCACAACAAGCTCTGCTCTGCAAAGTCCCGCGCAGCTCCCAGACCCAAGTGAACAGGACCGGGCTTTAATTTACATCTCATCCCCCTCCAGTAACCTGATTCATCAGGCCACAGCGTGATTTCTTGACCGAATGGGACGTTAAAAATATGGGAGAGCCTGCAGACAGCTCCTGAAGTTGCACAAAAGCCATTTCCAGCGCGGGCGAG